CTGTTATTCCTGGAGAACAGGGGGTTCAGTTGGTCAGGGAAAATAGAGGGTTCAGTTATTCCTGGAGAATAGGGGGGTTCTGTTGGTCAGGGAAGATAGGGGTTCTGTTATTCCTGGAGAACAGGGGGTTCAGTTATTCCTGGAGAATAGGGGGGTTCTGTTGGTCAGGGAAGATAGGGGTTCTGTTATTCCTGGAGAATAGGGGGGTTCTGTTGGTCAGGGAAGATAGGGGGTTCTGTTATTCTGGCCAGTATATGCCAAGGGGATTGAAAGCAGAGCTCAGGTCTGATTTTGCAGGTATTAAGTGCCGTTTGATCTGCTGTATGTTTCAGACATTTTGAGCCGCAGGACTGCAGAGACAGCGAGGGACAGGAAGAGAGTGAGAGGGATCGTGAGAGAGAGGAGTGAGAAAGAAGGGAAAAAAGGAGAGGGGAAGGGAGGGAGAGATCATGAAAGAGGAAGGTGGAGGGAGGGAGAGATCAGACGAGAGAAGGGGGGGAGAGGCAGGAAGGGGAGGGAGGGGGCTCTGATGGGCTGTGGTCTCTGCCCTGGTCTTCTGTCATGTTGTGGTTGTGAGCAGCAGAGCTCTGGGGCTGCCGGAGCGGCTGGTTATCTGGCAGTAAGTGCGCAGGGCACCTGGGCGGGGCGCCTGACTCCTAGCCTTCCATACATGGGACCGCGGACAGGGGAGAGCGCGGGGGAGGGAGAGGGAGGGGACGCAGGGAGAGAGAGACAGTCGGAGCAGAAAGAGGAGAGAGACCAGAGAGAGGGGGCTGTTGCGCCTCTGCGTCTGGGGATACCTTGCAGTCTGTCCGCCTGCTGGACCGGTAGGAACCTCCTTTCTGACTCGCCGCGCCTCGTACCGACAGCAGCAGGTCTGCCTCTCCCTCATTCTCCCTCTGGTTTCTGGACTGACGGGCTGGCAGGCAGGCCGTTACTGGTGTGTGTACGTGTGTGTGTTACTGTGAGTGGACGTGTGAGCGTGTGTGTGTGTGTGCAGACAGACAGAATCCTGGTTGTGATTCCTCTAGGTTCTTCTGTGCTCCAGACTCTGTATTGTGTGTGTGTGTGTGGTGTGTGTGTGGTGTGTGTGTGTGCACACTCTACATTCTCCTCCGTTCTGGGCTCTGCAGTGAGTGTGTGTACTGTGTGTGCATAAAAGTGCAGTTTTCCCTGTTCTGGGCTCTGCAGTG